GATAGTAGTTAATTTAACTACAAGAGAGAAGATCTCGGTGTAGTCAATCCCTTCCTTCTGCTAAAAGCCTTTTACTACTAATCGTGCTTTGTATCTCTTCTTACCATCATGCTCTTCCTTGACTCTGTACACCCACTTATTTTGCAATGTCTTCTTTCCTTTTGGTAACTCTGTAAGTATCCATGTTTTATTATTTTGAAGAGAATTCATCTCTTCTTTCATGATTAGCTTCCACTTATCAGAGCTTATCACCTGCATTACTTCAACAAAATACTCTAATTCTCAAGCATCGGTCAGAAGTAAATAGTGGAGAGAGAGTTCACCTATCTGGAGCATTCGTGACTCTTTTAGATCTCCTTAATGTTGGTTCAGGATTAACTGATCCCGAATTTGATTCAAGTCCTGACTCCAGATCTGGTTCTCCATCTGATTTTTTCTCTGGTTCTGATTTTGATCCAGATTCGGCTTCTGGTTCGGCATCTTCAATTTCAGATCCAGTTGTAGTCTCTCTAGCCACTTCATTTTTTGAGATTTCTTCTAAGTCAACTGTTTCAGATATCTGTCTACTGGTGATGGTTGGTTATACTTCAAACTTGTCTTTGTACATCACATTTTCATTAAATGTGACATTCCTGTGTCTTAGGATCTTTCTATTCTGATCATCCCAAAATCGATAACCAAAATTATCATCACCATAGCTAATAAAGAAACATTTCTTGGCCTTAGGATCAAGCTTATCTCTATCATTAGAGTTTACATGCACATAAGTAACACAACCAAAAATTTTCAGATGTAAGAGAGTTACCTCCTTTCCTGTCCATACCTCATCAGGAATTTCAAAATTCAGCGGTACAGAGGGTCCCTTATTTATGAGGTAAGCTGATGTGTTAACAACCTCATCCCAAAAATACTTCGGCAATCCAGAATGTATTTTCATACTTCTAGATCGTTTATTCAGGGTTCTATTTATCCTCTCACCAATGCCATTTTGTTCCAGTGTTCCAGGAACTGTCTTGATCATTCTGATACCATTCTCAAAGCAGAATGCTTTAAACTCTTGACTATCATACTCTCTTCCATTGTCAGACTTCAGACATTTTAACTTTAGACTTGTTTGATTTTTAACTTCAGCTTTCCATCTTTTAAAGGTAACAAACACATCAGATCAATGAAGGTGATATAATAGCGCGAGCCTCCCAGAGAAGTTACAGGTGCTGGTCCCCACACATCTGTATGCACTAGTTCTAGGTTTTCTTTCTTTGGCGTCCTTCCCATCTTTGAGAAACTAACTCTTTTTTGTTTCCCGTAAATTCAATATTCGCACAAACCTAATTCAACATGCTTTAGGTTTTGCAACTTTTCTTTGGATGCCAACAACTTCATTCCTTTCTCACTCATATGCCCGAGCCTCCGGTGCCACAATGTTGTATCACGACCATGATCAACTGTTGTTATAGTATTTCGTTGTATTGCAGTTGCATACAATGTTCCTTTCTTGAAGCCTCGTGCCACAACCAAATTTTCTTTGGTTATCTTCCACGATCCATTACCGAATGTTATTGTATATCCTTCACTGTCAATTTGACCCATAGATATCAGATTTTTCTTGAGGCCAGGAACATGTCGGACATTTTGCAATTTCCATAGCGTGCCTTGTAAAGTCTTTATATGAACTTCACCTTTCCCGACAATGTCCAGAGGTTCGCCGTCTGCTAGATAAACTTTCCCAAACTTTCCAGCAATAAATTTATGCAATAATTCTTTGCATGATGTAGAGTGAAAGGAAACACCTAAGTCGAGAATCCAAGATTGGACTAGACTATCTGCACAACAAATTAGTGCATCACCGACTTGTTCAACAATTGCATTTGCTGAATTATAATCCTTGTATTGATCGTTCTTCTTTAGCTCTCTATACTAACTATTGTAATGTCCCTTTTTATAGCAATTCCAACACATAATGTCTTTGCGATTTTTGAATTGCCCTCTTCTCCTTGACTTTGATCTGCCACGACCATGACTTTGTACTCTTTGGTTGTTTCTCCCCCTGCTTTCGGTATTTAAAGTAGATCCTGGGGAATCACTTGATTTTCTCTGGCGAATATATTCGCTTAGAACCAAGTCTCTAATATCATCCAATTTTAGTTTGGTACTTTCCGATGAACTGCTAACTACAGTTATTGTTACAGACCAACTCTCCGGTAGAGATGATAGTAGAATCAATGTCCTGACTTCGTCATCGAATGTTATATTGACAGAACTCAACTGAGTTAATATTACATTAAACTCATTGATATGTTTCGTAATAGATCCACCTTCTGTAATCTTTAAGTTGAACAATCGACGCATCAAATAGACTTTATTTGAATCAGATGGCTTCTCGTACATATTTGATAACGCCTTCATCAGGCCTGCACTGGTCTTCTCGTTAATGATGTTAAACGCCACATTTCGTGTTAGCATCAAACGAATCACACCAAGAGCTTGGCGATCTAATAGATCCCAATCCGCTTTGGCCATATTCTCTGGTTTTACCTCGGCCAGATGTAAGTGAACTTTCTCTAGTACAAATAATCCTCTATTTGCATTTTTCAGAATCCAAAATCTTTGCGATTGAACTTGTCAATCTTAACCTTCCCTTCTTCCGATGCCATTTTTCACAAAAACAATTTATGTGAATAGTGTCTGTGAATAGTAACGATGATCAATAATGTCGCACTATTCTTGAGAATAGTACCTGCACCGATACCGTACTTTTTTACTAGAATTACACTGTTTGTGCTCTGATACTAGTTGTTGGGAAACATGTCAGGCTAATAGAAGGGAAAAATATTTGAAAGAGAAAAGTAATAAATTGCACAAGACAAGACAAGATTTACGTGGTTTGGCAATTTTGCCTACTCCACGGCCACACAAAGAATAACTCTTTATTAATTGAATAGAGAAAGAAGAAGTTGAGGGATAATTTGCAAATGAAAATGCATACCCTTTTTATAGGCATTTGAATGCCATGCCGAGGCAAGCGCTTGCATCATAGGAATGCCGATGTAAGCACTTACATCATACGAATGCCGATGTAAGAGCATACATCATAAGAATGCCGATGTAAACGCTTATATCATAAGTTCATCTCTTTTTGATTTTTCTTTTTTTTTGTTTTGTCCACTTTTTTTTATTTCACATACAAGAACATATTTGCTACTTTCAATCAATTCACTAGTAGAAAATTTTAATCTGCTCTGTTTGCCATAGGGCAGACCATACGTTCTTCTTGTATCTTGTCAGTTACTTTGTTCTTTAGCAAAGGGATGTGCTTCATTGCTCATTGCTCCTGCTGAAGGGTATCCCAATCTCAAGTGCCACAAAGTTGCCATGTGTTCATTCTTAGTGACTGCTGCTCCCAGTGGTGATTCTAGTCCTCTCCTTAGAAAGTAGAGTACATTGTTCTCTCTACTAATCACCATTACTTTCCTACTATAGAGTGCCTGAAACACACAGAAACTAGGGAAGAATGCGACTGAACATGAAAGTTCCCTAATTAATTTCGACACTGACACAAATTAAATTTAAAATCTGGCACATGTAACATATTAGTTCCAACATTGAAAGCCTCGGTTATTTTTATCTTTTCTGTCTCTAAAGGAGAAAAGCATGCATAATTTAATTTATATTTTTGTGTGGCTCCAAATCAGCATAGCCATTTCGAAAGACCACGTTCGCCTGTTTATTCTTTGAAGAGACGATGAACAAAAAGAAAAAAAAAAATCGTAGTTGACTTTTAAAAAGTATAGTTGAAAATCAAAGAATTTAAAACAATTGGAGTGAATAGTACAACTGTCACATACATGGTTCCTTCAACTCCTTATGAGAAATCCCACATGGTGTGGAGCCAAAGCAAAGAGACAGTGGCACTTTAATTTACTGTTTAGTGATAGGAAATTATTGAACCATAAAAAATATAAGTGCAAAGATTAGCTGTGCATTATAACTGTATGAATGTGATCCTTCCCCATTGCTACAAAAGTATATGGGTCATGAAATAGTTGGGACAATTTGTCTTCTTCTTTTTTTTTTTCAATTTATTTTTCTGACAATACTGTATCTAGGCCTTGTGAGATCTTAGATAAAAGTGTTAATTGATTATTTTCTTTCAATTATGGTGGGGTTGGGAAGAGGATTTAATTCCAGAATTTGTTTATAATGATGGACGGTTGCATTTCTTTTGAAGTACTTCCAGTTTATGATTAGCTTTTTGAGTGTTCATGTCCTTTCTTGCATTATCTTCTCCTTATATCTTTTTTTAATCCTTGTTTTTTTCAGGGGCGGATGGGGAAGGTGGATGATATGTTGTGCGAGTTAGGGATGGACATTCGGCCGGCAGTTTAGATTAGATATGAATATTTGGTGCTGACCAAATGAATAAATGACAATCCAAAACCAATCTAGAATCGGAATTTTTAAATATGTTTTCGAATTTTTAATTTTAAGCCTATAAGTTGAATTTTTTCTTCTCTTACAAAAATTAACATTTAAATGAAGTAGTATTCATATTAAATTGCCTAAAAAAAATCTTATTCTCATTGTAATCATACAAATAAAGTAGCCAAGTAAGAAATTTTTTATCAAGAAAATATAACATAGAGATTAAAGGCCAATAAGAAATAGCAATAGCAAAATTATATCCAAATAGAAAGTATTCTAGCAGTAACTTAATATTTAATATTGAATACGTGAGAAAATGCCTAATGGGCATGTTATTGGATTTATTACTATTAACATGGATAATGGACTAACGTCTAAATCCAAAAAATTTAAAACTAAATTCGAAATCTAATATGTAATTTGGAAATCCAAACCAAAAATTCAAAAAGNAAATCTTTCGAAAAGATAATATTCAAAGATAAATTAAACCCAGGTTTTAATTTCTCGATTCCTGTTAATTATGTATCCAAATAAAGAAATACGGAGTAATATTGTTTCTTAACGGGAATAAACATAAGTTTAATAAAGAACCGGAAATAAAATTTAATCATTGTATACACTTGAAAAACAAAAGAATCATTGGGAAGCTACACAGGCGTTGGCCTCATCGTAGCTAGAAAGAAGAAAGAAACAATTAAACTACAGCTAAGCTTCTACTTAGATACTACTCCTATTTTTCTAACTAACTTAGGTTGTTAGATATAATTGGTAGATACCACATCTTCACGTTGGAGAGATTCAATCCCAATTATGATTTCTTGAACTGGTGCCGATGTAGTAATATTGGTAGCTACCTGAGTGTTAGAAATTGCAGTTGTAGTAACAGAAGTGCCTCCATTTACAAATTTTTGGCAAGTTTCAATAAGGCAGTGCCTACAAGTAGGGCAAGAAGAGTTGGAATTCAGCCATTTATCAATACACTTGACGTGGAAGCCATGGTTGCACTTAGGCAGAACCTTAACTTTTTCTCCAACTCCAAATTCTGATATGCAAATTACACACTCAGTGCCAACCCCCGGATATTTCAATTCTGTAGTGTAAGTTATAACTGGGAATGTTTTGAGGGCTTTTTTCTTGATCCCTGTATTGGCTAGCTTTGCTACAGAACGATTTGTATGGTTTGAGGATGAGTCTGCCAATACTCGGCTAGCGCATCTCAATGCACACTTTATTAGGCAGTTCACTATAAGTGAACAAATTATGGAACATATAAGTACAGACAATACCATCACAACATTTGCATCAAATGGTGGTTGATCTGTTGTGTCGTGGCTGATTCCGGTTGCCGGAGACGGCGCCACGGTGTTCTCGGGGTGTTGTTGTAATGTAATTGGTATTAGAAGTAGTCTTCTTGAGTGGTGGAAGTTTTCCATAAATTCTTGATCGAATATAGTGGAAGTGGTTGCCATGGAGTTTTGGTGAGAGAATGTGTGTTTTCTTTGTATATATGTTGGTGTTGAATGAATTGAAGTCTCTCCTTGGAAGCAGTTGCTTATATAGGACACATTTATAGGGCTAACCAAGTGTAAAGTGTGATTAATTATTTTTTAATTAGTAGTACGAAAACCGGTTAGAATAAGCAATTTTCTTCTTTGGAAAAGAAATGCTTTGACAAGGTTATTAAGCTAATGGGCTATCCACTCAAGATGGAGCCAGCCCCACTTACATTGCCGACTGCCGGGTAGGCTCCCACGTGGATATGGGCATTATCGTGAATCAAATCTTCAAATAAATTTAATTTTGGGACCCAAATAATGCTTAATTGGGAGCCCTAAAGCCCAATAATGGAGCAAGAAATTCCCCTATTCTCACCACAACGTAGAAAATTTGCAAATGATTTCTTCTTATCTCATTAGATAGATTAGACTTTTGAATAACTATTCAGCGAGAGGTGGATTGTTTTTTTTTTTTTTTTGGGGGGGGGGGGGGTTATGAACTATGTTTGTCAAAGTGTCTTTTTCCATCTCCATTTCATATCATTGTCTTTGACTTTTCCAATATGTCATTTGACAATTATCTTAAAGACCCCCATAAATTCTTATGTAGTGGTACAATTGTAACTAAATGTCATGCGCATAAACATGAGTTGGTAACTTGGAAAAGAAATTGACAAACTTATTGGTATAAGTCAAAGCAGTAGGTAACACACTAATACACAAACCTTAAAAATCATTTGATATTTACCTTAGCTACATATTCGATGTCAAATTGTAGTAGCTCCTCCCTTCACTTTTTACCAGCATTCACTTTCTTTATAATACTAGACTAGATAAAGGAGAACTGAAGGTGGTCAATAGAGAGAAACAAATTGGACAAAGTTTTTATGACTATATTCTATGTGCACGTATTACATACATGATTGGCAAGGAGAAATCAGTGCCTGTCATTATTATTTCAAGTCGATTGATATTGAACTGATTAGTAATACGGAAAATGATACCAAAAGGTATAAAAAGTACTACTTGAGTCTTGTAAATATAAATTTGTAAACCATATATTGGCTATCTTTTGCTACGTGTGCTTTAGCTTTTTCTCTTTTTCTGAAACTATGAGTGCTTTAAGTAGAAAGTAGCAAAATATATGTGTGAGAAGCAACATTTGTCACTTTATCTTTACAATTAGAAGGGAGTTAGTAATTTATTAGTGTTTGGACATATATTTTACTTATAAAAATATTAAAATTTTACAAGAAAAAATATTATTTACCTAAAAATGTTGTAAAATCACTTTTTCAAACTTGAAACTAAATCTTCAAATTTTGAAACTCATTTTCGAAAATTTAGCCTAATTAATGCATAACTAAAAAATGTTTGGAAATGAGTTTCGAAAAAAAAGAAAAACATTTATAGGGACAAACGAATCCTTAGATCCGAGGTTCTAATCTCGCCAAAAGTCTGATACCCTTTTACCTTCGCTTTCATCATTCACGATCCATGTCAGTCAAAAAGCCTTTTTCTAAAAAATCACTATGCAAATTACTACAAAAGAAGAGACCTAATTTGTATGGATAATTAAATCTAGTGCTCCAAATTTTCTATTCTTCCCTCTTTAGACTTCAGGTTCTAGTTCTCATTTCTCTATTTAATATCCTCCTAATCTCTAGCTAATCGCATAAATATATCCTTGTAGATTTGGAGACAATTCTTTTTTCCAATTTGGATTAAGATTAACTAGCGGCCCCACTTGCTGTATGTTGTATGATCACGAAGCACCAGATAAATTTCGGAGTTAAGCTTAGGTATATTCTTGTGGCTTGTAATTAAAGCAACATAATCTTTGTGATATAGCAGTACTTCATATCAGTATTTTAAAGATAAAATGGTGGTAAACAGAAGGCTCGAGCTCGAAGGTGTAGTACTGACATGGTCCTTTTTGTTTTGCTCTTAGTTTTTACTACTAATAATTTTGCTAATTAAGATATTAAATTCTGATTAGGACAAGCTTAAGATAAGGTGATGCTTACTGCTTTTGTTAATGCTTTAGTTGCTCCGCTTTCTCTTTGTTGCTCAAATATAATCACTTTGACCCACCACAGAAGAATGTGGTGTAATGGTTGAGATCCTTTCACCATTAATCAGAGGTCTCGGGTTTGAGTCGTGAGAACGAAAAATTCTAAAGTAGTGAGGGCTTCTTTCCTAAATGGCCATGTGCGATGCAATTTAATTAGTCGAGTCAGCAGTGAGTTTTAATCCCAAATGGCTAAACAAAAAAGAAGAATTAACCCAAATAGCCGCTCACACTATCATTTAAATTAAAAATAGTCGGTGAATGTATAATATATGCATAATATATGTATTGCATATGTATAATTGTGTATAATCAATGTATAATCTATGTATATGACTAGAAAAAGTAAACAATTAATATGGCTGGCTATATGCGTAAAAATCCCAACAAAAAAATGCAAAACCAGACCCTATCCAGTTCTACAATGCAGTACACTTGTAAAATATTTTGATATTATTGTCCAATTTGTAACGAACCACAAAATCGATTACCCCGACATCAAGAGTTCAATCATATGCAAGTTGTACAAAGGAGTAAATGGAAATCCAAATTGTACTACAATACCATGGATAATCACGGTCATACAAGAAAAGGCAAGAACTTGCTGATTCAATGAAGATTTCTCAAGTTGGACTACAAGGAGCAAGAAAGGAAAATTATATTTTGAGATACAACAAAACATCTCGTAGATGGAGTATAAAGATCAAGAAAGGAAACACAGATATATTGAGATCTATTCAAAAAGAAATTATTTTCGTAGTTGAAGTTAAAGCGCGCCTACTAATTGCCTAGCGTTTAATTATTAATGAGACTAAGTTGTAAAGTTATTTTAATAAAAGAAAAAATCTGTTTTTTATTGAGATTATTTGACTAAAAAATAAAAATATGAAAAGTTGGGCTAACTTGTTATTTTAAAGAGTGGACAACTATTGATTTAAAAGGGAATGAGCCAACTATTTGAGTATTAAAATTGCTGGCTCTTTTTTAACATGTTTTGGCGTTGGGTCAGCCCTTGCTTATTAAAATAAGTTGGGCCAGCTTTGTTATTAGTGAAAATGAGCCAGCAGGTCAGCTCATTTGGCCCTTTATTCTTGTTAGCCCAATCTTATTAAATACAAAATTAATACATTCTACCCACTTTCAAAATCTTCATCAAGTCTTTAACAATTTTTCTTTTTCTACAGCATGACCAAGATTCTCATAAATTTGTTTCTTTAAATGTTAACAGAGAAATGCTACAAGGCAATAAATAAATAAATAAATAAAGCAAAAAAGTTCATGGATTTAACATTATGATCCAAAGCTTGATTTTAAGATTGAAACCTAAACATTCATCCATATAGCTAATTTCCTTGCAGATGCTTCAAGTAATCTAAACATGCTTAAATCCTTATCAAATGCTATTAACAAATCCGCATTACAGAGTTTAAAGGTTACCTGGGTCGTAAAAAATAAATATAGCAGTGAAGAATAAGAGCTCGGCAACAGAAAGCAACAGAGAACAACAGCAAAATCAGCAGAAATTCAGCAGCAAATTGTGTTTAAACAACCCGAAAACCATAGAGAAGAAACCCAGAACCAACTATAAAGAAAACTTATACTTTTCTAAAAGTTTGCACTCTAAGATTCACTCACAAAGCCTATATATTTTCAGTTTACTAAAGTATTCAGCTGATTTTTTGTTCAAAGATATGTGTGTTCAAGCAACTCTCCAGCTCCTTTTTTCTTCTTCTAAGTGATAGAGTGTGTGTCTTTTATAGGAAAAGAAACCAGGCATTCATGATTAAAAAATAGTCTTTTTTGACAAATGTTTCCACAAAATCTGCTCTAAAATTCAAAGGGCAAGACTTTCTTGTTCAATCTTGTTTAAAAGAGAGTATTTCAACCAAAATCTGATCTTCACTATTCAAAGACAAACTTTTATTCAAAAGCTGTCCAAAAGTCCATATTTTCTTACCAAACAAATGACTTTTGAGTTTTGTACTCAAAAAATCTCTCAAACACTAAACAAGCAATCAAGCAAGTACCCTATACTTTTATCAATACAAAACTATTCTACTACTTCAACAAGTGCAAAAACAGAAATTTAGCATTTCAAACTTTAAAAACTAATGCTAAAATAATTAATAAGAGACAAAATAAAATCTGAAAAAATAAAATAAAAAAATCAGCCATGAAAAAAAAATAAAAAAAGAATAAGTATTTTTACCATTTCACAATTCAAGTGGCCGAAACAATGGTGGTATGCCAACGAGGGCATTCGGGGAGGTCGCTAGACTTTGGCCAGATTTTTGGTCACCGAATTTTCGAGGCGAAATTGACATCAATAGGTAGGTCTTGAGAAGCTCTATCCGTTGATATATGTATTGTGGAGTGGTAGTTGCCGGGGCTTCAAGAATTTGGGCAAAAAGATGGCGGCTAAAGTTTTCTAAATCTAAAATTCAAGGAGTTTGAGGGATTTTTGAAGGAATTGGTTTGGAGATATGGAAAGAGGAGGTTGTGAAGATTACAAGATGTGAATTTGGGGTGTATGGAGGTGGTCCGCCGCCGGTGGGTGATCTCCGGCGGCGGGGCGGACAGAAGAGAGAGAGAGAAGAGGGAGGAAGAAGAAAGGAATTACGGGGGAAATAGGGGCAAAATTTCAGCATTTCTAAGTCTTAAATACCTAGTTGGGAGATTGATTGTGGACCATTGGATGAGGGAGAGATGAATGGATAAGATTTAATTTTGATTCACTTAATTAAACGACGTAGTTTCATTATGAAACTACGCCGTTTTGGACCAAGTCTTGGCAAGCTATTTTGGACTGGGTATGGCCGAATTGGGCTCCAAATTTGGGCCAATTTTGGCTCAATTATAATTAAAATACACTAGCCCAATTTTTTTTTCCTTTAATAAAATTATAGTCTTATTTAGTCCTAAAAAAAATGTACACGTAGAAAGAAAATATTTTTGGTT